AAGCTGTGCAGGACAAGCCCAAACGGTTGGTAGAGGTAAGCTTTGACGCGGACTCACATGGGTTAAGCATGATCCGGCGTTGACACACAAGTCTGCACTACAGCAGCTTTGAGTTTGACGTTTGTGTCTTTGCCTGAAATGTCAACTGTCGAGCTGAAAGCTTGCTTTGGCTTTGTCCCTTCCAGGACTCGTTGTAGGCCTATCCGCACACCGTCAACAGCCGCAGCCCCGTCCCGGTGCACACATAACAAGCCGTGAACATGCACGGAAGTGCGGCCATTTTGCAAGTTTTTGGAGCAGTTGCGACACTCCCTGGAACCAGGGTCTCGAGGACTTAATTATGATCCGACGCAGGACAGTTCCAGCAGTTTTGGCCTTCAGTTCCACAGAGGAGCAGGAGTCACATTCCTGCAGCAAAACTTGCGAATGCGCAGGTCAGGCGCCAGTAGCTTTGTGCCCTCCGCGCCGTTGGTCTTCAAGCACAAACGGCTGTCTCGTGCAGTGTCGTTCCAACTCTTGAAATTGATGCCATTTTGCTTTTGAATTGTGCCTTTCTAGATTTTGCCTTGGAGTTTCGGGCTCTGCGCTGCGCAGTTCCACCTCCCAGGCAGCATTTGCCTCATCGACTTCGGGGGCCGGGATCTTCTGTGCGTGCGCAATTTGGAATTGCCCAATCCTGGTTTATTTTAAGGCGTCTGCAGTCATTTCCATCATGGTGAGAAGATGGCAGGCTTGTGGTGTGGCCGCTCTTGATGGTCCAGGTTGTCCACTGGTGGAGTTGATCTTTTTCTTTGCCATTGGCCTTTTATAGAGTTTGCGAACACGCAGCCAGGACATTTTCGTGACCTCTCGCTTTGTGGCAACATGGACGGGTCGCTGCAGCCATCATCTCTGCAGATCCATGATGCGAGTTGCATTTGGCCAGACTGGCCAAACAACATGCACAGTATCTGGGAAAAAGCGACATAGGGCGGAGCTGACCTCATGTCACATCCAGCATGGGTGAGCTCCTGCCTACCGGATATCACGGTCGACGGGCTATGGACTGGGGCCTTGCAAGCTACCCACAGCGCTGCAGCCAGCAGTTGTGCGCCGTGATTGCTGCTCACTAAATGCTCAGGTCACAGCCGTTCCGACTCAGGCACGTGAATTGCGCGGTCCAGCGCTGACAATAAGTCTCCAAAATCCGACCGTCTACGAGTTCGGTGCAGTGGCCCGAATCACACACCTTACACAACGAACACCTTGCCCCTCAGCGAGGAGTTTGACTTTGAGCTCTCGGCAGGCCCGATCATTCAGAGCGCGGAGGCTCATGGTGCAACAGGGCCCCGGGAAGGCTGGAGTTCTGAAAAGTAAAGCCTCCTGAAAAGACCAGCTGCAAGGGAGTCTTTGCGTACCATGCCTGACGGCCTGCGCGAGCTGCGTCTCCGCACTAAAATTCAATGCCAGCTTGGGTGTGGGGAGGCTGGAAGGTACACCTACTCAGGAGAAGTCATCTCTGCAGATCCATGACGCGAGTTGCCTTTGGCCAGACTGGGCGCATCTCTGCGCAGCTCTCCAACGCTACGGTTGAAGCACAAGGACTGACCTCACCAAGCGGGTCCCACTGTGCATTGGCGGCATGCTGCGCCACATTGTCTCGCGAAGCTTTCCACAATCGAAGTTCGCTTTGGTGTTCGGGAGGCCACCACAACGAGGTTTGGCAGCCACAAACTGAGCGAGATATTGCTTCTGGCCATCCTTATATTCATCGCAGTGGTTTTCAGCGAGAAAGGTCAGCCCAAGCGAATCATCAAAGCTGTAGCCACCAAAATCCAGTCCGTTGAAAGCGTGGCGTGAGTGTGCATGAACTCAAAGGAGGTGAGATCGCCTCTGCCGGCGCGCCCGCGGACACTATACTTGACTCAATTATAGCATCCACCGATGGTAGAAGTCTTTGATTCCACGGTAAACCATAGGTGACTGATGAGGACTTCTTGTTGCACAAGTCAAGCGATATCGATTCGATTTAGCCGCATCAAAACAGCCACATTGAGGCAACAAAACAGGCACTTGGACTAGACGGGGGGCGCAAAACTAGACTGCCATACTCGACACTTTTGTGGCCTGTCGCTGCAAAACCCGAATTTCGAACCCATCGGTAAGCTACGCAGCGGAGCCCTAGTTTCAGAAAACCAATAAACTGGTGCTGGAAACTTTTGCCCCTTGAGTTTTCATTTCAGCCCTCTCATTGGTGCGTGCAAACCTTGCTGCAAAGGCTGAATCACCGTGAATGTACATTGGTGCATTTGAGGGTTTCCACACAGAACAAACGAGTAGGATACAACACAAGAGTATGTGTCAAAAGCGGATCCCTCGAATTCTGGTCTTCCTTTCGAATTTCCCTTTAGAGCCAAGGTCCCCAACAAATGACGCACACCAATATGCTCTCAGGTCGCGGCAACTCAGCCGGCTGCTAAAATCAGCGGCGGCACGTTCGGCGGTGTAGGCCTCATGCGATTTCTTTTTTACACAGCACCCAAGGGTTCTCCGGGTATGCCGAAAACCACCACATCCAAGTTCCAACACCTTATTGGCTCACAACAAAACCCAGATTTACCAAGAGTTCTGCTTAAGGGGTCCGTAAGCATTGAACCCGAGGCGGATTGTCAACCAGTTCAGCCAAAGGCCACCAAACCAAGCAGCAAACCAAGCACAAAGATAGAAACATTGAAAATGCAACATGGTCAGGAAAACGAGTCCTCGGAAATTTATTTTAGTATTGTCAGCTCTCATTTTTGTATTGCCCGTGAATGTCACAGGCCAACCAAACGCTGCCATAGCAAACAGCAACAAGTTTAGTATTGCCAAAACAACTTATGTCCAATAGTGCCACTAAACTTCGTATTGCCAATATGTAGTACTTTAAACAAAAAAAAGAAGTTGAGCTATACATCCAAACACAAGACCAAGCTTTGGTTTCGAGAAGCTCTCGAGAATGAAGCCGGCCGGGAAAGCCCAAAGATAGAAACTTCGGAGCCGGCCGGGAGAACGAGCCCTGAGAAGACTTGCCACGTCCTATCTACCAAAAAAATCGAAAGTTGTTTTTTGCGTTTAAGTCGCAGAAATGCTGCGATCTTGCAACCCGGCCTTGCTCATCGGAAATGCTGCTTGCCTGTGGGCAGCGCAGGTGAAGCTGCATGGAACAACCATCTCGGCGCAAAAAGGTTCTTCTGCCTGCATTCAAGTTGCAAAACACAGGCCTGAGACACAAAAAACATATAAATGAGGGGGTGTCCTTGGACACACTCACGCAAGAAGAAATCCTTCATGGGTCTTGATTCATCCCCTGTGATTGATGATTTTTCCAACTGTCCAACTGGCACTGTGTGAGCTGAAGCCCGAGATCGGCGTCCGATTTTGCAATCGGCTCCTGAATTCCCTGCCGACGGTTTCATGACCATCCCACGTAACCCACACTTCGCAGCGACACCGAACGATTGTTCGACGGAAATCTTTCGAAACTCTTATAAACACATCCTTGCCAAACTAGGTTGCCCAAAATGGGGGGGATCCCAAATCCTAACCTATCATCCGTAGTGAATTTGCATTACAAAGAAGAACAAAAAACTGCTACCATTGGTATGATTGAGGATTGATGTTGGACCGTGACCGTCTACACGATTCATGCCTCTCCTAAAAAACAGTGCCACCGTCGCTCCGGTGGGTTGGTTTTGGTCGAACTCTCCACAGGGGTGGCTGAAGATTGGTGCCGAAAGTAGGAATCGGAAGTCCCTATGGCAACATGTAGCTACTTACTCAAGTCTGCCCACATGATAATTGATCAATATTCCATCCGGCCTCCAAGTGACCATGGGATTCTCACATTTAGTTGTTGAAATATCATCTGTGCAAAGGGCTTCCCCTCCTGTTGATGTCCCTTCAAACAAAACAAGGGGGCCGCCCGCCTTACAGCAAGGAGACAAACAACGCCTTCCCTTTACCCCCTCAAAGCAACCTTCACTTGGAACCAAAGACTCAAACCTGCGGTCCCCAGGTGATTTAATTTTGAGCCACACCTTCACTTAAAGGTTCCCAAGCCTTGCACATCGCTCCCTACTGAGCAGGTTTGTGCCCTAAGCTCCCCAATAATATGGAGAAAAAAACAGCACTGGTGGCATTTAGATTTAACTGAGCTGTCCTTTTTCAGATCCCCAGCTAAAACGTTTGGTTAACTGTTCGGCTTAAATTCGGAAACCCAACCAAACCGAAACGAAAAGCGAAGTTAAACCGGATGATTCGCTCGTTGAGCCACCAAGTGATGTGACGATGTGTTTTGTTTCCAGGATTGTACGATTGAATCAAAATGGGGGGGGTCTCCAAAAAATGGGTGGCATCCTGTTCCTTTTGGCTTCACTTTACAGCCACCACAAAAAGGGTACCCTCAAGAAAGCGACACCCCCCATTTAAGGACGTGCTTTTTTTTCAAATGGACGACTGCTCCAATGGTTTCCCCCTAACCCCAAACCCCAAACAGGGGTTTTGAGACACGCACCCACAGGGTTCGACTTTTTTGACTACCCCAAGGAAGACTTAAACCCGTGGTTCACTCCCCCCGAAAAGCAGACCCGCTGGGTTTAAGTCTATATATATCTTAGAGGTTGCCAAAAAGTGGCACCCTGCACACCCATGTTGTCCTTTCGGATCAACTTCCCGCCGAGCCCAAAATCCTGGCCGCGATCAGCTTTTACGAATCCCAGCCGCCCGAATCGAAGGGATCGAGCCCCATCTCCAAACCCGCAGAGCGGGCGTTTCTCTGACGCTCGGCGCGCGGCTTGCCATCAGGACCCGACTTTTCGGGAGCGGCAGAGGGAACCCTGGATCTAAGTAGAAGCCCTTGCTTGATTGATAGGGGCTGCCCTCTTGTGGAGATTCAGACAATGGTTCGACTTCTAGGTCCTCCAGTAGAGAGGCTAGAATAAGGGCACCCTTTTTCCTCTAGTCTGTTTTAGGGAACCCTCCCCAAACAAAGCGCAAAAGGGCCCTATTGGGGGACCTCTTAGATCCGGGGTCAATCACTCCTCATGGCACCCTTCCTTCCAATAGCCTTTGGCTTGGCCGCCAACTTTGGGCCCACCACGAAGTTCGAACATTGTCTCTGTCCATCGAAGGACCTTCTTGCAGCTTGGCCGGGCGTCACACGCCAGCTGGGCTGCACGCAAGCTGCGGAAAGAAAGGCAAAGCAAATCGCAATGCCCCACAGCTGTGCGACCCTCTCCTTGGAAAGTTGCCCAAGGTCACAAAAAAACACGACCGGTGCAATTTCAGGGGAAGCATTCTCACATCTGCCGAAATCTGCCGAAATCTGCAATCTGTAAGCCGCGTCTCTCTGACGATATCGGTGATACGTCGCAAAAAGCAACAAGAAAAACCCGAGAAAAAAGAAAAGAGAAGCAGAAAGAGAAGAAAGAGGACAAAAAAGGAAAAAAAAAAACAGAAGCACACAACAAACCAGGAAAAGGTCACCAGCCCAGCGAAGCCTCGATAGCTGCAGCTCTGCTTCGCCGCTGCCTTCCGCCGGGCCTCGGCCGCCACGAAGCCATCGCTCGTCCGCAGCTTGGCCAAGACGTCGGGTCTGACCAGCCACAGATCCGTGTAGTAACCTGAAACTGGCCGGTCATTAAGGACATGCTTTTTAGGCCTTTTTTTTGGGTGCTTTTTTGGACCGAAAACCTTGTTTTTTTTTTTCGGGTGTGCATACTTTGTCAAAACAAGTCGTGATCAAGGGTGATCTATCCTTGGAGTTGAAGCCTGGAGTTGATGGCCCCTTTGCTAAAAGTGAAGCTGGGCATGGGAACTTATCCTTGGAGTTGAAGCCTGGAGTTGATGGTCCCTTTGCTAAAAGTGAAGCTGGGCATGGGAACTTATCCTTGGAGTTGAAGCCTGGAGTTGATGGCCCCTTTGCTAAAAGTGAAGCTGGGCATGGGAACTTATCCTTGGAGTTGAAGCCTGGAGTTGATGGCCCCTTTGCTAAAA